TTTTTAGTCTTTTTCTCAGGAAACTCCATAGTGGCTGATCCACCCATTGTAGCCGCAGGCCATGGTGTGAGCGTGGGACAGCTGTCCCTGAGTGCGGGCGGGGAGGTGTGGCCTTTGCCGGCTGGAGCTCCATGACCAACAGCGAAGGAAGCACTTCAAGATCAAGCCCACCTCGCTGCCGTGGGGCTGGGGCTGGGGCTGGGACCGTGGGATCCAGCGGCTTCGTCACACAGGACAGGGCATGGTTCCGTGAGGGGCATCCACACATTAAAAACTAACACACCTGCTGACAGGCCGAGGGTCTGAATGATGGGGGTTGTGACGTTTCTCCTGGAAACTCGGGCCATGGCTCCTCTGAAGTTCAAGGCTGCAGAGGAGCAATCAGGGTCCCTGACGTGCTGGGCTGTGGTTTCTGGGTGCCTGGTGGGCAGCTCGGGTTTCTTCCTGTGCAGTCGGGCCTCTGTCTGGAGTCCTGGGAGCAGGAGTGCTGTCCTTCAGGGTCTCCTGTGTGTGACTGTGTGACTGCTCAGCCGCCCCATCTCCCAGGAAGGCAGTGTGCGGTGCGTTTATGCACCCGATTCTAGAGCCACGATGAGTTGACTTTTTTCTTTAATACGTTTATATTGATTTTTAGAGAGAGGGGATAGATAGAAGCATCTACGAGAGAGAACATCACTGATTGATCGCTGCCTCCTGCAAGCCCCCACCGGGGATCAAGCCCACAACCTGGGCATATGCCTTGATCGGGAATCAAACCAGCAACCTCTTGGTTCATAGGTTGATGCTCAACCACTGAGCCACACGCGCTGGGCAAGAGTCGACTGCTGATGACAGTGGAGACTGGACGGACAAATGCCTGCTTCTGAAGAGCCGTGGGAGGGGCGCTGAACAGGAGGCCCAGCGGCAGGACATTTCCCATGAGGCACATGCTGAGTGTGGGTGCAGGAGGAAGGAGGGGTGGGCAGAGGTCAGCAGGCAGGTGTGGGCGCGGCACTGGGCAGGCTCCGCGAAGGACGGGATGCCAGTGTCTTCAAGAACTAACGGGGGAAAGAGAGAGGACGGAGGGGAAGAAGGCTGGGAAAGGCCTTCAGGGTCCTGAGAACCCGCCGGGCCCGTGGGCTTCCTGTGGAAATCCTGCGTCACGCAGACGACAAGCCCGCGGAGGACAGTCAGAGCGGGATCACACTGGGGCTGGTGGGGCGCTGATGGCAGCGACAAGGGGCCGCAAAGGCAGGCCCAGCAGAAGCCTGCCCAGGGCTTAGAGGGAGGAGGGACCAGGAGAGTGAAAGACAAGCCCCAGGGCTGGGCTCTGGGCATCAGCTGGGAGGCAGGGAGGGAGGAGCTAAGAGCCCACCTAACAAGCACCAGACGGACAGGAAAAATGAGACAAAGGGAGGGTTTGGCACGTCTGTGAGAAAAGATTCCCATCAGCCATTCCCACCGCCTTTTCCAGCTGAGAAGAAGCCCCTGAGGAGGAGGCCCATTGGGAGTAAGGTCCACACACTCTGCAGCCTGAACCTCGGCTGCCAGGGACTGCAGGGCGCTGCAGCCTGCACCCCAGACACAGGAGGGCCCGGGACACAGGAGGGCATAGGGCACAGGAGGGCCAGGACACAGGAGGGCCTGGGGCACAGGAGGGCACAGGACACAGGAAGGCACAGGACACAGGAGGGCGGGAGATGCAGGAGCTGTCCCAGTCTTTGATCTGCAGGCAGTGGCCTACCTTGCCCTCCAGCCCTCAGCAGCCTGCAGGCGGGGCCTCCCTCTGACCTGGGCAGCCACAGCTCCCAGAGGGAGTGGGCCCTGGCATTCTGATTCATCTTCCTGTACATTCACTTGTTTCCACTGGATGTGCAGAATGCACGGTGCAGGGAGACAGACCTAGTTCCTCTCCCACCCACACTCCCACCACCATTCATACAGGGAGACGGCATGCCCTGCACACGTGGGTGTTTGGGGTGTTTGGGGTGAGGTGGTGGGGGGGAGGGGGCGGTTGGCTTACCGAGTTCTGAACCCTGGGGAAGAGGTGAGCATATAAAGGTGACGGTACAACAGGAGCTGGACAAGGAGAGTCCTCCCAGCAGCTCGCCGTCCAGTCGGCGGTGCTGGGCCAGAGGTCAACGAAAGCTAGGTGGTGCCTAAGCCTCCAAACAGGGTCCCAGCCAGCTTCCGGGGCCTCTCACCCCAAGCGCAGCGGTGTGTCTTTGGTGTGTCCGGGCGGGCTCCGCGGCATGTCCGGGCGGGCTCCGCGGCGTGTCCGGGCGGGCTCCGCGGCGTGTCCGGGCGGGCCCTGTGGCGTGTTCGGGAGGGCTCCGTGGCGTGTCCCGGGCGGGCTCCGCGGCGTGTCCCGGGCGGGCTCTGTGGCGTGTCTGGGCGGGCTCCGCGGCGTGTCCCGGGCGGGCCCTGTGGCATGTTCGGGCAGGCTCTGTGGCGTGTCTGGGTGGCTCTGTGGCGTGTCCCGGGCGGGCTCTGTGGCGGCCGGGAGGAGCGGGCTCACCTGTGTGTTCTGGAAGGTCAGCCCTAAACAAAAGGAGCGGCTTCTCTTTGTCAAGTTGTATTTCAGTTACTTTTTCTGCACATAAACTCTGAACATGGCGGCAACACCAATGTCTATTTTGCTACACACACGACTTCTCCCCTTTATTAAACGTCCTGATAGTAACATGTTTGGGATCACGTGTTAATCAAATTAAAAATCAAAATTTTTCAAAAACACCCTATGAATCTTCTCTCCTGAAGAATCACATACAACGTATTGTCAGGGCCCCCGCCCCCGGCTCTGTGCCGGGTCTGTGATAAGTTGGTCAGTGAGTCCCAGTGGCTTTCTTGAATTTCACTTGCAAACGTGTGGCTGTGCCCACGTACATACTAACCCTGTTCCCACCACCTCTCCGATCAGATGAATCCACGAGGCCTTAGATCTCAAACTGAACCTTTTGGCCACTGGGGAATCGTGGCAGTTCTAAAGTTTTGGAAATAAAGTGCATACACGTTCGATGAGCGTCTCATGTTCAGTCACCCTGCTTCGGGGAATGTTTTGAAGCCACAGGTATTGGCTAAATGAAACAGCACCTGCTTCTAGCAACACAGACAGATCTTCACCAAAACCAATTCTCAGAGGAATAGAAGCAAATCACTCTGAACAAGGGGGTGTGTGCATGCGTGCATGTGTGTGCATGTGTGCCTGTGCATGCCTGTGTGTGCATGTGTGTGCGGGAAAACCATAATCACAACTTGCATGAAAAGCCAAGCGAACAAGGGCTCGTGTGTGCGTGCTGGGTGCGTTGGCTTGAAGTTAGTGTCTAACAAACGCCTATAACCCAGCGGCATCTGACGGCGCCCAGGAAGCAGACCAGAGGACAGAGGTCAGATGAACCTGTGTCTTCAGTGATGGGGCTCCCTCCACCCCCAGAGCCCAGAGGAACGGCCGTGACATTTCTGAAAGGGCAGGAAGGGGGGCAGCCACACGGGGAGGCACTCTGCCTGCTTCCCGGCCACGCGGGCGGGGCGTGTGCGGCCTCCCCGCTCTCCTAGCCCACCCGCCGCTGCCGAGCTGCTTTTATGGTGAGCGTGTGGGACGGTGAGCCTTTCTCCAAACCAACACCGACCTCTGTCCTCTGGTCACCGGTCCCAGACCCAGAATGGAAACAGCTCAGCATGGACATAGCTCAGCATTGTCACCCTTCGCGTTAATGGCGACACCGCTTCCAGGCAGCCCTCCCACAGGTCAGGACCATCCTGTGCATTCCCGGCCAGTTCCCCGCTGGCCCCTCGCCCCGCCCCCCAGACCTAAGACAGAGCCTCACTGTGCGGCTCCCAGACCAGGACGGCAGGGCCCGACCTCCAGCCCGGCCCTGGGACCCACATCTGGCCGGGCCCTCCTCTCCACGGTCTCCGCGGGGTAGCAGCAAACTGAGAAAAGCAAACAGCGAGCTGTCAGGCCGGCACCCCCGCACGCGCTGCTGGGAGGCCTCAGTGTGGCCCGCCTCGCTGGGCGCCTTGGGCTCCTGTCATCCTGAGAAACGCCTGTGGCCGCGGAGAAGAGAGCATCGCAGACCCGCCTGCGGGCCCCACCGTGGACGCGCTGCGTGGGTTTTGCAGGAAGCATATGGGACCCACCCATTACTGCCGCCCAGGAAGGCACGTTTCCTTCTGCTCCTTCCGAGCACCCAACAGCCAGCTCACTCACAGGGCCTCGCCGAGAGCTGGGCTGCGGTGCCCGGGAGAGGGTGCCTCCTGACGGGGCGCCGTCCACCCTGCCGGCCGCTGCGGGCTCTCCGGCCTGTCTCTGACTGGCCATCCTGGCGAGATGGCGACGGACTCAGAGGCCGTGGGAAGGGGGAGGGACAGGCGCCCACAGAGAAGCTGCGTGGGACCTGGAACACAGGCCACAAGTACTGCTGCCCCCTCTCGCCACAGCTGTCAGCGGCTGCCTCCTGCAGGCGGGCTGCCGGGGACGGGGGACAGAGGCAGGGAGACTGTCTTGTGCAGGATTCCCTGCAGCCCCATCAGGTCCAGGGGCCAGGGACCTGTGGGTCACCTTTGGGTGAAATTATGGGCCCTCCAGTGACAGCACAAGGATGTCCCCTCCACCTGACACCTGAGTGGTGATGGCGGACCCCACACAGCTCTGGGAGGATGTGGGGTAATGGCTGGCGCTGGTTTGTTTGGGGGACACAGAATCTAGAGCCAACAAAGCAAAACCATGTCACACCCACCCAGGGGGCCCTGCGTGGGCCCCAGGGGACGTCATCCTTCCATTCCCGTCGCTTCTCCTGGTGAGGCCAGAGCAGCTGAAGCGAGGCCCAGGGAGCCCCGGGGGAGCCCCAACGCGGTCCAGGGGAGCCCAGCACGGCCCGGGGGGCTCGGAGAGGGGTGAGGGGACAAGGGCAGTGGCCCCGCACAGGCGCCTGTCCCGCTGGATGAGACAGGTGCCGAGAGCCCAGCCGCCGTTTGTCTCCATCCACGTGAAACTGCAAACAGCCAACACCACGGCAGAAACAAACAGGCTTTATTAGCTCCCGCAGCAGCTGCTTGACAGATTGCGCTTCCAGGAAAAGCGCTGGGGGCTGCGGAGGACACACAGCCGTCAGGGAGCTCAAGCCGCTGAGGAATGCACTCCAGGGAGGGCCCTTTCCGCCCGCGTGGCAGGACCGGTGACGGCTGTAAATCCAGGGGGGCTTCCCGCAGGAGGAGGTGAGCTCCTGGGCAAACCCAGCTCAGCGGAGAGAAGCCTCCTGCCCTCGAGATGGGCATGGAGTGGGGAGAGGACGCAGCAAACACCTGTATTTCCACCAGAAACGCCGACCAAACCCGCTTGCTATGCACGGACGCCCGCTGAGGGTCCCCTGACCGCCGAGCAGTTCACGGGTCCCAGCCTGGCCTGGGGCCCAGCAGCGTCCGCCTCTGCCTGCCCCCGGCCAGCCACCTCCCGCCATGTTGCCAGTTCCTCACCTCTGCGCCCTGATTCTAGGGGAACAGGCATCACTAGCCCCTAAATGGCAACAAGAAAGGCCGCATGTCTCTCTTCCGTCAAAACTGCGGCTGCCTCGTTCAGGGGCTAATGCGGGGCCTGAAGGGGTCACTGAAACAGGGAGACACTTTTCTCCACAAATGAGCAGGGTGTCACCCTCCGCACCCAGGGGCTGGTGGGGGCCGCGTGGTGTCTCGGGGGAGAGGCCTTCCACCTAACACGGCTCTCCCAGGACCTGGCCCCTCGGAGCTGCCACCCAGCACATGAGCGGGAGACCTGGACAGGGAGACCAGAGGCAGGGAGACCAGGCAGGCCTGGCGCAGCTCCAAGCTCTGTGCTGGGAAAGCCGGCTGTGGCTGCCCCCCCTTCACACACCCTCATTCTGAGGGAGCCTTGCTCCAGGGGCTCCAAGAAAAGGCCAGGTTCCCCCAGTCCTGCCGCCACCCTGCATCCTTGGGGAGCTGTCACCTGACCTGGGACCAGTGATCCAAGTTCAAGTTCCCACCACTCAGGGCAGGACCTGGGCCAGGGTCTGGGCTTGACTACCTGTGAACACGGGGTACCTGTTCAGTCGTAGGGGACAAGAGACCCCATACCTACCTCCCTGCACAGGGATGGGGATCCCTACCTACCTCCCTGCACAGGGATGGGGATCCCTACCTACTTCCCCCCACAGGGATGGGGGACCTCTACCTACCTCCCTGCTATCGGAGGGAAGGAGCCCACAGCCATCTGGGCCCCAGCTGGCATCGAGAGCAGTTTCTTTGAAATCACATGTTCTTGCTAAATCGCTTTTACTCCTTAAAATCTGCGTGCTTGCGTCAGTTTCGAGAAGACGGATTTCCGCCCGTGTCTTCAGGGGTAACCCATGCTAGGAGATGCACGTGGTCCCCCTGGGGGCCCCTCTCCCTCAGGACGGGGTGGGGTCAGGCCTCGTTAGAAGCCAAGCTCTTTCTCCGGGTCCAGGTTTGGCCTCCTCGACCCCTTAAGGCAGGACCCATCCCCGCATCTCAGCCACGGACGGAGCAGCGGGTGGGGGGAGACCAGGAAAAGAGCATCGGGGGGAAGCAGCCAGCAACCCCCCATATAATCCGTGGGTCCAAGAGGAGGCTCGAGGACATTAAAGGCATACTGAACAGAGTTAAAATGAAAACACACGTAGCGAACTCTGCGAGCTGCGGCTGGAGGGCGCTGAGAAGGAAGTCGGTAACAGCGTGAAGAGATGTGAACGTGCCCGGCGGCGTGGCTCCGTGGTTGAGCGCTGACTATGAGCAGGGGCCACGGTCCGATTCCTGGTCAGGGCACATAACCCCAAAGGCAGAGAAGGGAGAAGACAATGAAGATAAGAACATAACTCGGTGAAATTAAAAATAGAAAAACTGCATCCGTGAAACCAAGGCAGCTCTTTGGGAAAAACTCAGTAAAAACCTACAAGCCTCTAGCAAGACCGACAAACAAGAAAGACAGCCATGAATCGCTGCGTCGGGAACGGAACAAGACCGCAGACTCTGCCGCCGGCAGCAGCGCAGGAAGGGGGTGCGCACTCACACTCACACGCTGACAACGCAGAGCAAACGGAGCCGCCTCAAAACCCACCCACCACCAACCAGCCGAGATGAGAAGAGTGACCTTACGACATGAGGAGTCTTAGAACCACCCAGGACATTGAACTTGGACACTTCCAGACCCAGGTGGTTTCGCAAGAGAATTTTATCTAACATTCACAGGAGAATGAACGCGACATTTCACACAACCTCGCCCAGGGAACCGACGAGGAGGGGACGCCGCTCTGCTCCTGTCATGAAGCTAGTGTTGCCCTGGTACCAAAAGCAGAGAAAGACAGCACATTCCCCCCAAAAAAGGTTACTTCTCAAGAATGCAGACACAGAAGTTCCCAACAACATGTGAGCAAATCGAGTCTAGCAAGACGCCACAGACAAGTCGAATTTCCAGAGAGGCAAGGCTGGCTCAATCTTCAAAATCAGTCCATGTGCACCACCCTAGTAACAGGCCAGAGAAGTCCAGGGATGCAGAAAAAGGAATTCTGCTTGCCCGGCCGGTGTGGCTCAGTGCTTGAATGTTGGCCCATGAACCAGGAGGTCACTGGTTCGATTCCCAGTCGGGCACATGCCCGGGTTGCGGGCTTGTTCCCTAGTAGGGGCCGTGCAGGAAGCAGCTGGTCGATGTTTCTCACCTATGTTTCTCTCTATCCGTCTCTCTTCCTCTGTCTCTAAAAATCAATGAAAATATTTTTTAAATAGACTTTAAAAAAGGAAAAGGGCTTTGGCCAAGTGCTATCCCCCATCGTATCCCGTCAGTCCTTCTGCAAGCGGGGACGGAGGGCAGCTTCCTCCACCTCGTAAAGAGCACCCACCGTGGACACAGAGCCCGCTGCTGGCATCACGCTCAGCGGCTGAAGCCAGGGTGCTTCCCCTTTAAGACAGGGAAGGAGGCAGCGGTGTGCGCTCCCACCCTCTAACTCGCCCCGAACCGGACGGCCTCGTGCAATAAAAGAAAGAGGGTGTAGGAGCCGTGGCGACTGGAAGGAAAGGAGTAAAACCGACTTCACTGCAGACGCCTTGGGTGTCTGTGTAGGAAATCTGAAGCAGCCTGCGGAAAAATCTAAACACAGACCTCGGGCTTTTTCATGAAATAATCAACTCAAAACGGATCACAGCCCTAAATGCGAATGAAAACGATAAACTTCTACGAAGATAACGCAGGAGAAGACCTAGGTGCCCCGGTCTGGCCATGAGAGTCTAAGATGCTACACGAACAGCAGCCCAACCCAAGAAGGACAGAGAAGGGTAACCTGAACAGCGTCGTTAAAAGGTACACGCGTCTGCTCCGTGACAGACGCCGATGACGGACTAAAGCGACAAGCCGCAGGCGGGAGAAAACACGGGGCGCCCCAAACCTGTCTACACTCACTGTGAATAGTCATAAGGCAGTGCTTACTAAATGCATTTCATTTTCAAAACTGAGCTGTCACAGTGTGTATACATATTTGGGGACACCCTGTATTTGCAAAAACATATCTGAGGACTTGTACTGAAAATATGCAAAGACTCTTTAAAAATCCACAATAAGAAAACAGTACAATTAAAAACGGGCTGCCCTGACCCGTGTGGCCCAGCGGTCACAGGTTCGGTTCCCGGTCAGGGCACATGGCCGGGTTGCAGGCTCAGTCCCCAGCAGGGCATGTGTAGAGGCAGCCGATCCATGATTCTCTCTCATGGATGTTTCTCTCTCCCTCTCCCTTTCTCTCTGAAAATCAATTAAAAAATATATAAAACAAAATGGGCCGAAGACCTTAACAGACACCTCACCAAAGAAGATATACAGGTGACAAATAAGCATATGTCGTCTGGGAAATGTAAGTGAAAACCAGGGGACCCCCAGCCCCCGGTGGAGTGGCCACAGTCTGGGACGTGACAGCCCCACGCGCTGTGGGGGTGCACCTGGTACAGGTGCCGAGGGATGGGGGGGCGGCGTCTTACAGAAGCCAACACACTCCCCTCCAGCGCAGCAGCCCTGCTCCCCACGATCCCCCAAAGGAACTGGAAACGTACACCCACACGATGGCGGCCCCTGGGGGCACGGCAGCTTCAGGCACAACGGACGACGCTGGGGAGCAGCCGCCGGTCCACCGGTGGGTGGTGGGTAAAGACACAGTTCCCTCCAGATGGGGAACGTTATTCGGGCTAAAAAGGACGAGGAGGGACCTAGATGTGTGTCACTAATGAGAGAAGCCACCTCCTGAGGCTGCAGGCCCAACGCCAGGACGATCTGGAGAAGGGAGGCTGTGGGGACAGTGACTGTCAGAGGCTCCCGGGTGAGAGGGAGGGAGGAGGGTGATGAGGGGGATCCCAGGGGAGTTTCAGGGCAGAACAAGCACCCCGACTGACACTGCAATGGTGGACAGCCGGCATCACGCCTTTGTCGACACCCACAGACTGGGCCACACCCGAGTGAGCCCTCCTTCACCACGGGCCCAGTGAGTGAAGTAAAACGGGCCATTTTCTCTTCACCCTGACGGGCCTGGGGCCGGCTTTCTTCCCAACTCGGCGAGGCAGCGGCTGGCAATCAGCCATCGTCATGGAAAAGGCCGGCAAAGTGGACAGAGCTGAGCCCTCGGCGGACAGAGGCCATGTTCTGTCCTGGAGGCACCAGCGTGGCCGTGAGAACCACCCAGGTCTGACTGCCTGGCGGGCGCTGGGTGGCATCGCCAGTGGGTGGGTGGCATCGCCGGTGGGTGGGTGGCATCGCCGGTGGGTGGGCGGGCTGTCACATCATCAGATTAGAGAGAGGGGTCTGTGGCGATGGGTAAGAGGATGTGGGAGGAAAGGTGATGGCGGGGGTGGTCCCCGGTTCCATAAAGGAGGGTGAAGCCCGCCGCCACCCCCACCCCGCCCCCAACCTTTACAGAAAAACCTGCGGACCTGGGAAATCTAAAAGTCCCCAGTCTTACTGTGGATTCTAATTAACCAGTGAGTCCCTTAAACACTTTCCCTGAAGTATTTTCCCTTCTGAGGGTACAGCTGATGTAAACAGGCCGAGCGCCCGGACCTTTCAAGTCAGGGCCTTAATCAAGCAGGAGATGAATGGTGCTGAGCTGAGCCCCAGAGGGTGGCAGGGGGGGCTTCCTGCTGCCCCATTAGCATAACCCGAGGATCAAAGGGGCCGCCCAGCCCGCTCCCCGGGGGAGAGAACGTCTGAGATAATTAAAAATACGCGGCAATTTGGTATGACCGGGAACTGGGACAGCTTGTCCCCAAGGACTCGGGTTTAGGGTCCCGGGAAAGGCCTGGAACTTGACCCTCTTCTGGGGGAATTCGCTGTCGGGTCTCCTGAGACAGTTCCCCAGACCCACCCGCTTCCAACGCGGTCGGCCGGCGCCGAAACATTTCACAAGTTACGTGCTCCCCGAGTCGATGGCTCCACGCGAACTGCTACCAGTGACCCCGTAACATAAACGTTCCACCGTCAGGGGCGGGCGGAAAGTCAGGCTGGAGCCGGGGCCTCGGCTCCCCCGCCCGTGGGGTGCTGTGCACCACCTGCCAGCGCCTCCCACGGACTTTCTGACGTCGGGGGCCATCCCTTTGCCTCTGTCCACACGGCAGCCACCAGCACGCGGGGGCAATCGGGGAACTAAAGGCCCAGGGTCACGGGGTCGGGTTACGTTCACAGGTGAGTGGTCACAGGGACTAGAGGCGACAGCCCTGGAGAGAGGAGGTCTGGACCCAGCTTTCCCGACGGGGAACGGAGCCCAGGAGGGTAAGGGATGGGTCTGAGGTCGAGAGACCAGGCCCCCGGGTGACGCACCGTGAGGACCTGGGTGTGTGTGTGGGGGGGAGGGGGGCGGTCTGGTCTCATTTCCCGTGAGGAGGAGAGGCCGGGTGCTGCTCCCCCCACGCTCAGGGGACACAGGACGCGCCGGGGCACCGTTGTCCTCTCCGGTTCCGTGCCGGCCTTTCACAACGAGCCCAGTTCTTGCTTCAGATTCAACACCAGACATTCGACACGCCGTCCGTTCTGCCTGCGTTTCATTAACCAGAAAGTCATGGCCATCCGTGAAGCGAAAGGAGTCAATCACCCAGAAGTCACAAAGCTGCCCGATGCGTGGGGCTGCGGCATCTAAAAGCATCTTTTATGCTTTTCCCGCCGCGTGTTCCAACCGGAGACGCAACGCCCTGGCCCGGCGCGGCCTCCTGGGGACCAATGCTGTGGAGTCATGCCCGAGCGCGTGCGCACATGCAAGCACACACATGCACACGCACATACATGCAAACACACACATGTGCACGCGCACACCTCCGAGACAGTTCATGCTAAACTGAACAAAAGTGACAGAACAACTAAAATTCTCAAGTCCTTTTTAAACAACAAAATATGTGGAAAGCAAAGTGGAAAGGAAAAGCATTAGAGGTGGAAATCGAGGTACAGAAACACGAAGAAGGGGTAATGGAAGCTTCGATTCATGTCCTCAGTGTTCCTTTGACAGAAGTAAGATGGCCCAGCCCGGCCGGTGTGGCTCAGTGGTTGAGCGTCAACCTATCAGCCAGGAGGTCAGGGTTCAATTCCCGTCAGAGGCACGTGCCCAGGTTGCGGGCTTGGTCCCCAGTGTGGGGTGTGCAGGAGGCAGCCGATCCATGATTTTCTCTCATCATTGATGTTTCTCTCTCTCCCTTTCCCTCTCCCTTCCTCTCTCTGAAATCAATAAACACATATTTAAATAAAAAATAAAAAAAGGAAAATGGCCCAGAACAGAGTGAAGACCTGGGAGGACGTGGGCCCCAGGGTGGCCTGCACTTTAACCTTCACCTTGAGCCCGAGCTGCGCGCGTGTGGGTGCATGTCCTGTGCACGCGGATCCCCGCAGTGGTCCCTGCAGCCGGTGACTCACCTTGGCTCCTCACAGTGAGGTCCCCGAGGCAGGCGGGGGGGCCTGGGAGAGCGCCGGGAGCCCGCAGCCCTGATGGGGGGACGCACACCTGGGACACCAATTGAAGAGGAAAGAGGAAGTGGTCAAAGCCATGCTGTTTTGTAAACTTCAAAGGCCGCCTCTCCTCCCTCTTTACATTTTACTGTCTGGGGAGCAGGCTCTCTGCAGCTGTTGGCAGAAGCTATTCCTGGCGTCAAACCTGCCTCCTGGGGCCATAAAGTTACAGCAGGGAACCCCGCCCAGGTGTGGGGGCGCCGGGCCTTAATGATTTCCCTGACACCCACGCTGAGCTGAGCTGAGAGGGAGGGAAGGGAGGGGGAGGCCTCAGGCTGGCTGCCTGCTGGGGGGTGGGGTGCAGGCCCACCCTCCCCATGGCCCACAGCTGAGTGCGGGGCTGGGCGAGGCCGGTCCCCTAACCCTCCCAGACCCCGACATCCCCGGGGACTTCCCGGGACAGCCTGCTGGCACAAGTCCACGGCCACCCAGACCCCCAAGGGGAGAGGGAGCCACCTTCACTCCAGCATTGGGTCCCGGGTTCAAACAACCGTCCTGAATGGCCGCCAGAGCTGGGTCTAAACAGACAGCAAATCGGAGAAGGGAATTCATGTTAAATCGCCCTCGTCGGATGGAGTCCATGTTTGCACCCTGTAAACACAGCGGAAGGTGTCTTCCCAGCAAGAGGCAGAACCAAAGTTTGATCCTGGATCGAAGAGGCGGCTCCGGTCGGTTCCTAGAACCAGGGACTCCACTTGGCGTGTGCCTGCTCGAGGTCGCTGATGCCATTTGTGCCACACGGAGCTCAGCCTCACTTCGCAGCCGCTGGACCCGGGGCGCCGACATAGGGGGCGCCTGCAGGGTGACAGGGTCCGATGGCGCGTGTGGCCACAGCAATCAGCAGCCGGAGCCATAAACCAGGACAGAGGTGTTGCTAAATCCACGGAACGGCGAGGGGTGCCGTCAGCTGCAACGGGTTCCCACGCGTGGCCCCGTCCCCTGCACGGCGGGAACAAGACACTCCTCTGTGGCCCTGTGGATTCTGCCTAGTTTCAAAGTTTGGGGGCGCAACGTAGACACAAATAATTATTCATGAAAGAGTAATGGAGGACAGGGGAGGGAGGGAGAGGGAGGGAGAGAGACATCCATGATGAGAGAGAATCATGGATCGGCCGCCTCCTGCACGGCCCACCAGGGATCAGGCCTGCAACCCGGGCCTGTGCCCTGACCGGGAATCGAACCGTGACCTCCCAGTTCATAGGTCGACGCTCACCCACTGAGCACACCTGCGGGCTCCATGTTTCTTGAATGTTCTCCTGGGTCGTCCCCTAAAGCAGGGTTTGCCCTCCTGGTGGACACAGGGCCTCAGCTCTCCGAACACTGGTTCGGATTGAATTCCCAGCGGCACTTCTTTCCATTTCGGTTTTATTTTTTCTCACCTTCCCGCGAACAGTCTCGGCCAGCTCCTGGGAGGCAGTGCTGAGGGGTCTGTTTGCCTTCGGGGAGCAAACCAAACAGGCTCCGGGCAGGCAGAGCCCAGATGAAAGGCAGGAGCCCACAGCCTGGGGCCGGCGGCAGCTGGGGGGCCTGGGGGGCACCACCTCAAGGTCCTGCCGGAAGGTTCCTGCTGGAAACACAGGTGGCAAAGCTCCTAGCGTCCCTCCCAGGAGGCCAGCTGCCCCAGGGCTCACCTGTGGGCATCACCACAGTCCCTCTGGCCATCGCTTCCCACGGGTCCTGGTCTGGCCTCTGCAGACACTGGGGATGCGTACGAACTGCGTGTGCTTATTGGGCAGGAAACAGATAGGAAATCCACAGGAGAGCCCAGGGTCTGGGGCCGGGACCCCCTTAGACGTGTCTCCTGGGCTCAGGGAACCTGTGAGTCCTTCCTGGGTGGAAACCTCCAGAGCCTCACTGTCCAGCTTTCTTTTTAAACTTCCATCCTTGTCTTGAAATCTCCACGAAGTCTCCTAAGTCATCTACCAAGATCTTTCCCGCTCTTGCCCGAGTGAACGCTTCCCCACGCGGCACCTTCTCGGGGTGCAGGGCAGGCAGGGTGCAGGGGTGACCAGGTGCAGGGCTGACCGGGTGCATGGCTGACCAGGTGTAGGGCTGACCGGGTGCATGGCTGACCAGGTACAGGGGTGACCGGGTGCAGGGGTGACCGGGTGCAGGGGTGGCCAAGTGCAGGGGTGACTGGGTACAGGGGAGGCCGGGACCGTCCGTGAGAAGGGCCGAGCCCCGCCTTCCGTGGAGGCAGTGGCTTGCTCTCCGTGGGCCCTGCTTTGCTGTGGCTGTTTCTTCAGGAGCCCATGTTCCTGACTTTATCTAAGAAAACCGCTTTCCTGATATATGCACCCATATGTTCATAGCAGCACAATTCACCATAGCTAAGATCTGGAAACAGCCTAAGTGCCCATCAGTAGATGAATGGATTAGAAAACTGTGGTACATCTACACGATGGAATACTATGCTGCTGTAAAAAAGAAGGAATTCTTACCATTTGCAACGGCATGGATGGAACTGGAGAGCATTATGCTAAGTGAAATAAGCCAGTCAATGAAGGAAAAATACCACATGATCTCACTCATTCATGGATAATAGAGACCATTATAAACTTTTGAACAATAATAGATACAGAGGCAGAGCTGCCTCAAACAGATTGTCAAACTGCAGCGGGAAGGCCGGGGAGGGTTGGGGAGCAGGAGGGAGGGGGGTAAGAGATCAACCGAAGGACTTGTATGCATGCATATAAGCATAACCAGTGGACATAAGACACTGGGGGGTAGGGGAGGCCAGGGGATTGTCAAGGGAGGGGAAAAAAAAAGGACACATACGTAATACCCTTTGTAATACTTTAAGCAGTAAAAAAAATAAAAAATAAAAAATAAATAAAAACAAAACAAACAAACAAAAAAGAAAAATAAATAAAAGGAAAAAAAAAAAAAAGAAAACCGCTTTCCTGGTTCAAGATGAGAGATTTATTTTGACCGACGTGTTTCGTGGAAGCTGAGTCCACCGTCGTGAGACCATGTGGTCCCCGGTCCGGAGACCACAGCCAGGAGACAAACGCTCGCTGCAAAGCCAACCTGCGGCCCCTCCAGCCCAACACCCAGGCCCTGATACGGCCCGTCTCACAGGCGGGGACCGTGTGCCCTGGCACCCGGGTGCGAAGGCCCCGCCTTGCCCAGCCCGTCTGGAGGGCGCAGCGCACTGGACACGGTCCCAGGACCCCACGGGACAGGAGAGCAAACCAGAAAGCCGGCCCCCCTCCAGCTGAGGGGGCCCCAGATGTGCCTGAACCACGTCTGGTGAAGAAAAGTCCAGAACACAACACAGCAAGACGTGCAGCAAAGGACTTTCATGAAACCACACACAGCAGGTAAAGCGCCGGAGACAGCAATTCTTCCTTCTTCCCCCCAGGAGCCTGTGCCGAACCGCCAGGCGGGCTGCTCTCACGGGACCTCAGGACACGGGTCATCGCGGCCCCTCTGAGCTTTCCTGCCAGTGACGGGCTCGATCCCCAGGGAGGGGCGTGCGGAGGCAGCCCGTCGATGTTTCTCTCTCATCCATGTTTCTCTCTCTCCCTCTCCCTTCTCTCTCTCAAGTCAATAAAAACATATTTTAAAAATAAAGTCCCTCGGCCAACAACGCTTATGACTTCTCTAGAAATTAACTTTTCATGATGACGGAATAAATTGCACAGATTACGTAAGAAATCTGCAAGCTGGCACAACAGCTCATTAGACATTTCCATGGAAAGAGCACGTGACTACAGACGGGGTCGCGTGAAGGATAAAATCACCTGTAAAACCCAGAGCGGAGGGTGGGCGCCTAGGAACCCCCACAGAACAAGCTGTGGACGCCCAGGGGACGCCCACCCCCAGCACATGCCCTCGGCACTTTGCCCAGAGAGAAGGGTGGGTTGGCAGACGGGTGCCTGGCACGGCGAGCATCCGAGAACGCTTAGGCGAGGAGCGGAGAGGACCTGGCGGTGGAGGAAGCCTGCAGACCTCAAAGCCAGGGGCCGGCACCTCCAGGCCCGCCCAGTTCCCGGTGGTCACCTCCGCCAGCCGGCACCACCGGCACCCAGGGTGCTGGCACGAGTTCCACACGCCTGCCAGCTATCGGCCTCTCCTAGTCGCTCAAAAATGCTGCTTCCACACGGCGCCTGACACTGTGCGGATGAACCTACCGTGTGGTCTTCGTGACCTATGATTTGATCACGTGAAGTGACTGGAACCTACAAACTTCCTGGCAGCCCCACTTGACCATCTGTGTCCCCAAACCTCCAGCACGGGGAACACTGGCTTCACCCTCCGGGGGTCCATCACGCGTGCTGCGCACTCCCAGCGAGGCCTGCACGCTCAGCATGCCGGAGACGGGGTTCCTCGCGGGGTGCGAGGCGCCCAGGGAAGGGGGGAGAACAGAAGCCGTGGCTTTTCTCACTGAGATGTGGTTCCTGCCGATCACTTTGTTCGCGGCATCAGGACACCGACGGGAAGCCAGCGGGCAAGCGCTCGTGGACAGGGCTCGTTCCAGGTAAAAATGAGGTTAAAAATCAAGACAGTGTTTAAAAAAACAGCATCACCATCTCTACCAAAACCTCCCTTGTAGCAGGAACCCAGCTGCTGGGGTCACTGCTCTCCAGAACCCGTGGCTGCAAAGGGGACGCATTTGTCAAAATCCAGGGGAACAGAGACTTTCCAGCTCCCTTCCCGGAGCTCTGGCCTGGCAGCCCCTCGGGCGCCCTCCTGGGTGGGCCTCCAGGCGCCTCCTGACCCCACGCTGGGTCACTTCCCATCACAGCGTGTGTGCAGGGACGTCTCCGAGGGAAACTGTAAGCCAGCAGATGACCAGACCCGCAAGGTCCGTCTCTAAGCACCGACAATGACACCGAGCAACTGTCTCGTCAGGAACAGGTTCTTTGCAACAGAAACCGGCACCAAAGCAGGAGCCCTGGACAGTCTCCCCCTAAATTCTAGGGTTTCATTTACATTTACAGTTAAAGGGACCATTGAAGGGGGCACACTCCCCTCCCTTCTCCTCGTCTCCTCGCTCAGAGGCAGCCGGAGTGAACACCAGGGCCTTGGGGGGGCTGGGCGGGGAGGACAGTGACTTAGATAAGATGCAGTTATCTCCCCTTTGACATGGAGACACCTCGTAAAACCATTGTCAGGGGGATTGGCTGCCGACCACCTGTGACCTTCCCGCCTCTCAGCTCGGCTGCTGTGCAGGGACAGGCCTGCTGCAGGGAGTGTGGCTCCATGTGGAGCAGCCGCTTCAGACCAGTGACCCCCCCACCCCCCGGGGCCACACAGGAGGGGACCCTTGTGGGGAGCACAGGGTGGTTGTGGGCGATGCAGAGCAGATGTGCTGACATCAGTCCGAGGCAGGGTTTTCTGAGGAGCCGCCTGATCCCACCCGATGCTCACGGGGCCACATCCCCAACCCCAACCCCCCGGGGCAGTGGGGCACCAAGAGCCCAGGCTTATCCGGGAGCCGAGGTCCCCAGTTCCGAACTCGTGTCCTGGAGATGGACGCAAGTGCTGCGCGGCGGGCGGGCAGGTGGGCAGCCTGGGGCTCCGAGCCCACGTCCTGGGGTCCCTGCCCGCGACCTGGGATCCTGAGAGGCCGGGGTGTGCGGCCCAGGAGGGGGAGCACAGCGGGGGGAGGGGGGTGAGCCAGAGCGCAAGGAGCCGGGGAAATAAAGGCAGAAACAAATGAGAGTAAATAGCCCCGCGGGGGCCCTCAGGCGGAGGGGGCGCTCATGAGCACGCAGCTCCCCTCCCCCCCCCACCCCCCACCCCCCACCCCCCGCAGGCCCTGGAGCAGCCCTGCTCCTGCCGCCCCCAGGGCGCCCTGGGAAGAGAGAAACTAGGTCCTGGGACCCCCTGCTCCTGGCTCCAGCCGCAGCGAAGCGCACTCCGGGGCCCACTGGCTGGGACGCTGGCGCCAGGCCCTGCAGACAGACCCTCCTGCAAACCAGTCCCCACATCTTAACTCTTTCTTTTTCTTTTAAATATGTTTTTACTGATTTCAGAGAGGAAGGGACAGAGAGAGAGAGAAGCATCAATGATGAGAGAGTCATCCATCAGCTGCCGCCTGCACGCCTCCCACTGGGGATTGAGCCTGCAACCCAGCCACATGCCCTGACGGGGAATCGAACCCTGAACCCCTCAGTCCACAGGCCGACGCTCTATCCACTGAGCCACACAGGCCAGGGCTAAAACATTCCTTACATGAACTTCCTGTCCGGCTGCAGGGATGGCTCAGGCGAGGGTGAGAGGCCCACGGCCACTCCTGTCTGAACTGTGGAGGACACCTCGGAGTCAGCTCCTGGGGTGACAGCGCTTTCTCAAGTTGGGGCGGGGGCCGAACTGGGGCGCATCCCCTCCGTGGGGCGAGGTCCCTGCAGCAGCCCTTGCCCCCCACCCCCACCCTGTGGTCGGACACACACATCTGCGTCCACTCGGTCCCAGGCCGTGGGAACGCCAGGCTCCTTCTCCCGGCAGCCGGACCTCCCACAGACGCGGCGCAGGGACCGAGTGCTGTGCAAACCTCCAGCAGCACCGGCCTCTGAAGCTGTTGACCCTCCACGGTTTGGAAAGCAGGTGGGAAGGTGGTTGGGGGTGAGTTTCATCCCGGTCGGCAGGCAGGACGCTGGGCAAGTCCTCGCTGAGCAGGGACGCGCTGGAGAACGCCTGTGTGATTTCTGCACGTGTGACAGGCTCCCTGTGTCAGAGGGAATGTGTCCACCGTGAACATCTACTCCTAGACACACGTGGCAAAGCTGACGGCGGCGGCAGGTCCCTGCGACCCTAGAAGGGGGCGCGCGGGGGCCCTCCCGGTTCTACGTCCCCCACGGGGCACCTCTGTGCTCGGGGCTTGTCTTTCCCAAGGAAATCAATGCAGGTGTTTTCACGTTCAGTTCATGCGCTGAGCCCTGCATACTGCGGCGGGATCGCCTCATCCAGCCCTGATAATGGCATTAGTGGCGTCTCATTGATTTTTAACTGAACGAGAGACACATGAACTCATTAAAGTTCTAAACCACCATTTGGGTCCTGGCGTGCCAGGTTCTCTTTCTGAGAGCCATGCTCCCACAGTAGGTGTGAAGCACTCGGTGAACACACATCTCAGCTCACTCGCCCCACTGTACACACACAGCGCCCTGTTCTTCGTGATGCAAATGCTTCTGGGAACAGTAAAAAATAACGTAGCTAGTAACCAGCAAAACTAGTTATTAATTTCCCACTCGGTAACATTCTTAAACGACACTAAAAGTATTTGCTGAAAGAATCCAGGAAGGTGCTTGCATGTCCACTATCTCGCGCTCAACGTAACGATGAAAATCACAAAATATCTAAAGACGGTCATTTAAAAAGTGCATTGGTAACAGCACACAGATGCATAACACTGGGGGGTATACAGCGGGGTGTGTGGGAGGGATGTAAGTTT